ATTCTGTTTGTTAATGTGCTGGACTGCAAAGTCGGTTTGAATCACAAGGTTGGTGGTTCAAGCTCACCAGCTACACCTTGGAAAATCTTTACAGCGTCGCTGTGGGTAGGAACTGACTTGTTGACACTTCACAACAACAGCAATTTCCCATTGCTAGGTTTTCATCAGTTATGTACTTGTACTTTTTTGTGACTGTCTTTTCAGTCTATATGCAAATAGTTTAAAATTTAGGAAGGTGTGTGACAGGCATGTATTCTTTCACCACACTTATTCAGCCTTTCACTGTACTTATTCAAATGGTATGCTGAGCATATAATCCAAAAAGCTGTGTTATATGAAGAAAAACATGGCAATCAGGATTGGAGGAAGACTCATTAACAACCTGTGAGATGCAGATGATACAACCTTGCTTGCTGAATGTGAAGAAGACTTAAAATATTTACTGATGAAGATCAAAGAGCACAACCTTCGGTATGGATTGCATCTCAATGTAAAGGAAACAAAAATCCTCACCACTAGATCAATAAACAACATTCTTATCAACGGAGAAAAGATGGAAGTCAAGGACTTCATTCTTCTTGGATCAACTATCAACAGTGATGGAAAGCTGCAGTCAGGAAATCAAATGACGTATTGCATTAGGCAAATCTGCTGCACAAGACCTTTTTAAAGTGTTGAAGAGCAAAGATGTCATCTTGAAGACTAAGGTGGGCCTGACCCAAGCCATGGCATTTTCAGTTACCTCATATGCATGTGAAAGCTGGACAGTGAATAAGGAAGACCGTAGAAGAATTGAAGCTTTTGAGTTATGGTGTTGGAGGAGAATATGAAAGTGCCCTGGGCTGCCAAAAGAACCAACAGATCTGTGTTGGAAGAAGTGCAGCCAACAGTGCTCCTTGGAGGCCAGGATGACCAAACTTCGTCTCTCATACTTCGGACATATTGTCAGGAGGAGGACTAGTCGGATATTAAATTTGGTAAGGTGGAGGGTCAGAGAAAAAGAGGAAGGCCTCCAGTGAGGTGGATTGGCCAAATGGCGGCATCAGTGGATTCAAGTGTGGCAACGATAGTGAGGTTATTAGTCCAGGATTGGGCAGTGTTTCATTCTGCTGTGCTATGAGTTGATGTGAGTCAGTACCAACTTGATGGCACCTAACAACAACAACATATGCTAATGGAGTTCTGGTGTGGCGCTGTAGGATAAGCAAGGTTGGTGGTTCAAACTCACAAGTCACTCCCTGAAAACACTATACATGATCCCGATGATTTGAAACCAACTCAAATGGAGTGATTAATTAAAGTATAAATGTATTGAGATAGTTGCAATAAAATGTTTATTTTCTAAACTGCTGGGCAGAAAATGGCAACTAGAACAGAATGATTTATAAATAGTCTGTCTTCTTCTAATGCTGGTGAGGCACTTCACAAAATTTCTCTGCAGCAGTTGTTGTTGAGTGCCATTGAGTTAGTTCCGACTCATAGAAATTCTGTATAGGGTTTCTGAGGTGTGGCTGGAGAGCTTGAATCACAGACCTTATGGTTCAGTCCGGCCTTGCAGTCCAGCGTATTAACCCAAAACGCCACACCAGCCTATTAGCTATTAGGTGAGCCTAACTTTTCTAATACAGTCACTCTTCTATCCCCTGAATTTCATGAAGTGGCAGTTCAAGCTAGATATTTGGTTAGATTTAGTTTTAATTTATTTTAAGATAGTATGTATTTCATACATTTGGAATTTTCATCATGAGACTTATATGTACATTTTCTGTTTTATTGTTCTGTTGTGTTATTTATATTTTGCTTATTGCTTGCTCAGTACTCTTTATGTTCTTGGAGTGAAGCTCATTAAAAAGTTCTATATCAAACTTTTACCTAATAGGTTAGCATCTTTTGATGCATATTTTCTTGATTGCTTGGACATGGGACCATTTCTTGCCAAGTGTAAAACTGTAGGGATTTCCAGACTGAGGATGCTCAATTTAAATATAACAAAACACTATGGAAAATACTTTTAAAGCTAGCATTCTTAATGTTGTTGTTAAGTGCTGTCGAGTCGGTTCCGACCCATAGCGACCATTCTTAATATCACAGCTAAAAGTGACTTAAAAGTCTAGTGCCGGGGTGGGGAACGCCATTTAGTCTATTCCTGCCAAGGCAACTGCAGTTCATGCCATCACATTAGGGGTGAGTTAATTAAATTTTGTTTTGTTTTGTTTTAAAGCTTTCATTGTTAACTGTTGTTAGGTGCCATCTACTTGGTACCAACTCATAGCGACCCTATGCCCTGTCATGGGCTAACCTCACAATTGTTACCAAGGTAGAGCCCACTGATGCTGCTACTTTGCCAATCCATCTAGCTGGGGGTCTTCATCTTCTTCTCTGAGACCTTACCAACCATGAAATCCCTTCTCCAGTAACTGGTTACTCCTGATGGTATGTCTGAAATATGAGAGATGAACTCTGGCCATCCTGGCCTCCAAGAAGCATTCTGGCTGTACTTCTTCCACCATAGATCTGTTTGTCCTTTTGGCAGCCCATGGTACTTTCAATATTGTCCTCCAACACCATAACTCAAAAGCATTAATTCTTCTACGGTCTTCCTTGTTCACTGTCCAGCTTTTGCATGCATATGAGTTTATTGAAAATACCATGGATTTTGTCAGGTGTACCTTAGTCTTCAAGCTGACATCTTTGCTCTTTATAAAGGTCTTGTGCAGCAGATTTGCCTAATGCTGCAATATGTCATATGATTTCTTGAGTGTTACTTCAATGGGTGTTGATGGTTGATCCAAGAAAAATGAAGTCTTTGATGACTTCAGTCTTCACCATTGATAAGAATGCTGTTTATTGGTCTGGTGGTGAGGATATTTGTATGACCTGTAAATGATGTTATAAATGTTGGCAGAAAAGAGGTTCCCCACCCCTGATCTAGTGTAAGGATATGAGAGATTCCCTGCCAGCTCTCAACTAGCAAAATTAGGACTACAGTTATTACTATATTTTTAAACATAGATTTGTTGTTATGAAACTTGGGGTGTCTCTGATGATCAAAATAATGTCTTCTATTTTCAAAGGTGTTTTTGTAGAAAGTGGCTTATAATACCTATAACTTTTTGAGCATTTTCCATGATGAAAATACTTTTTTATCCTCATTTTAGAAATAATCCATGTGATAGCTTATTTCCTTTTTATTAGTTGATTTATACAGACACAAGTTCTTATGTCTCTATTCCCATCTGCCACCACCTTTTCTTCCTACCACAGCATATTGAAAACTTTTAAATTTCATCCTTGAAAAGATTCAAGTAAATAGTATAGTAGTTTATATTTTTTTGGAGTAGGAAGCCAGTGAATTTTAATTTATTACTATTATATCTAGATAAGAAACTATAGTACTTCTGTAGAATTCTTATAGTTGATTCTTTTTCTTTCTCATTATAATTGCAGCAATTTAACCAGTATAAAATGGACATTTTAGGTTGGTGTCAGTCATTCCTAAGCACATGAGCAAACAATTAGAAGTAGATTTGCCAGACCAAAGTGTAGGTGCATTTAAAGTTTAATGTTGTTAAGTGCTGTCGAGTCGGTTCCGACCCATAGCGACCCTGTATAGTGTTTCTGAGGAGCAGCTGGTGAGCTTGAACCACCGACCTTACAGTTCAAATGGCTTTGCAGTCTGGCACATTAACCCACGTTCTATGAAATTGTTTCTAGATAGTTTGTACCAATTTATACTCCAAACTCACCATCCCCTGCTTGGAAATCCCATACAGCGTCATTGAATTGGAATTGACTCGAAGGCTCTTAACAACTCTTAATATGGGCTTACTTGTGAAGTGGAGGGTCAGCAAAAAAGAGGAAGACCCCAATGAGATGAATCGACACAGTGGCAGCAACAGTGGGCTAAAGTGTAACAATGAGTGTGAGGATGCTGCAGGACCACGCAACGTTATGTTCTGTTGTGCATAGGGTCACTATGAATTGGAACTGACTTGGCAGCACCTAACAACCACAATATATGGAGTAGTGATGTGGCACTATAGGATAAGTGCTGGACTGCTAGCCGCTTGATTGGCTATTCAGACCCACCAGCTACTCCTCAGAAACCCTATATAGGGTCACAGTGAGTCCAAACTGACTCCACGGTACACCACTACCACCACCACTATGGCATCTGTGGGTAGAGCAAATGGTGTGCTTGGCTGCTAACTGAAAGGTTAGCACTTTGAGTCACTCAGTGGTTCCTCAGAAAAGAGGCATGGCGATCTGCTTTTGAAAGGCTACAGCCTTGAAAAGCCTATGGAGGATAGTTTTACTCTGACACACGTGGGGTCACCATGAATTGGGATCCGCTCAACAACAACTGGTATGAAAGATTGGTAGTTTCAGTTCACTCAGAAGAAAGACCTGGTGATCTAGTTTCAAAAGGTCACAACATTGAAAACTGAGGATTTTTTAAATAAAGGAAATTTGGGCTCAGAGAATATAAAAAAGCAAAAAAAAAACCCCCCAAAATACATTGTATAAACCATCCACTAGGAAATAGTGGTTTTGCTGACCAACCTTTTAAACTACTCATTCAAATACTCTCATATAGTATATAAAAGTAAATGGAATCCTGATGTGAACTGCAAGGTTGATGGTTCACGCTTACCAACTGCTCCTAGGAAACCCTATACAGGGTCGCTATGTGTCAGAACCGATTCGACGGCACTTAACAACAACAGTATGAGATAAAGAAATGTTTGTGGTCTTATAGCTCTTCCTCCCATTATTGGTGGTAACATGCTCCTTGAACCTTTAAATATCCTTGAAAATTAAAGTGGCACTTTACATTTTTTAAAGAAGAAAATATCAAAATTATTTAGAGTTGCCTACATTTTTCCCTTAGTTTTTCTGAAAATCAGTTTATAGTTGGAAAGTAATTAGTTACTTTTCTCTTTTGCTTTCTACTAACATGAAAACTAATTATTTTCTTTCTTTTTTATTCTTTAGTGGCTTACAGAAGAAATGAAATGTGGCCCGAGGGACGATATGACTATGAAAGACTTCCAAGAGACCGTGTACCTCCTCGAAGTCATCCCAGTGTAAGTTCTTCCTACATATAAAATGATTCAAAAATCTGGTGTCTCAGTTAATTTGGCACGTGAATCTGTGCTGAAAAATAAAGTTAATCTATGTAAAATTCTGAAAATAGAAGGCAATATTTTAGAAAAACTAATGTTTTCATATTTTTTCTTTACAATTTTAAAACAAAGGAACTATCCCACTAAACCCACTGTTAAGTTGATTGCAAGTCACAACACCCTTACATAGGGTTTCTGAGGCTGTAATCTTTATGGGAGCAGAAAGCCTCATCTTTTGCCCACAGAGCCAGCCCCTAGTGGGTTTGAACTGTTGGCCTGTGGTTAGCAGTCCAATGTTTATTTTACAGTGTCAGTAGGCCTATTTAACTTAATTTGTGGAGGAAAGTTAAGATTTGATAACTTAACAAAGAAGGTGTTGAAACACCTGTTCCTAAAAGAACCTGTCCCCTATTTTTGTATATTCCTAAGTGTTTGGTGTGGTGCTGTAGGATAAGTACTGGACTGTAAGGTAGGTTTGAGGTACAAGGTTGGTGGTTCAAACTCACCAGCTGCTCCTTGGAAACCCTATACAGGGTTGTTGTGAGTTGAACTGACTCTATGGCACTTAACAACAAAAGTGTTTGTACATTGGATACATGAAAAGTTTCATAATTGACTTTCCTTTTTTTGTGTGTATGAACTGAGTGAAGGTTTACAGCCAAGATTATCAGTTTTACATTCAACAAATGCCGAAGCTTTGTTTCATCTCAATGATTACAATCCCTTCCAGGCAACAACAGTTGTCCCGCTTCCTCCTGATGTTTACCCATGTACAAATATCGTCTTTCAAACTCATAAATATTTGTGAGATATGTGAATATATATGTATGTGTATGTATGTATGTATATATATATATATATGTATGTATGTGTATATATATATATATATATATATATATATATATACACTACTCTTCCTCCCATACCCTTTCAGCCTGTGTCTCTCACTGTATCTGTACACAGTACACTGTTATGCCCGGGTTGTGTGTATATCACTCTTTACTTGTATACCCTTTAGTCCTTGCACACCTCCCAAAGTCTTCACCCATCTTCATCATTCTTTTGTCATCCTCTCTTTTCTTGTATATTGCCCTCCCTGTCACCTGAGTTAACATGTCTACCTTCTAGTCTATGAATTGCTCTCCTTTCCCTCTCACCCCTGGTAACCTTTGAAGGCTGTTTCTTTTAGTATGAAAACCTTTTCTTGAGTTTTTACAATAGTGGTCTCGTACAATATCTGCCCTTCTGTGATTGATGAATTTCACTCAGCATCATGTCCTCCAGGTTTGTTAATGTTATGAGGTGTTCGCAGACTCATCGTTATTCAACATTGAATAGTATTCCATTTTGTGGATGTACCAAATTTTGTTTATCTACTCTTCCATTTGATGGACATTTTGGTTGTAGCCATCTTTTTGCTGTTATAGATAGTACTGCGAAGAACATCGGTGAGTCTACTCGAGTCCTACCTCTCATTTCTTGTGACTTTATACCAAGTAGAGGGATTGCTGGGTCATAAGGTGTTTCTATTTCCAAATCTGAGGAAGTGCCACACCGTTTTCATAGTCGTTGAACCATTTTATAATCCCTGTGAGTAGGAATCAACTCAGTGGCACTTAACAACATGTACCAGGTACTAGTGCTAAGAAAATAACAGTAAACAAAAGAGCAAACTCCTTGGGAAAATAAAAGGAGTGGTTCAAAATCCTCAATTCTAAGAACAACAAATTGACAATACACCAGAAACTGTCTCCCTGTCCCTGTGTCCCCAGGCATTCATTGCCTTGCTCTTCTGTGAGAACCAAAACCTGTTAGAATATCTCTAACACAGGGACAGGGAGACAGTCCAGTGTTTATCCTACAGTGCCACACCAGGTGTATAAGAGGTTAGAAATTGAATTTTGGAGTGTGGGATGAAGAAAGTTCAGTGTGTGGTAGTGGGAATTTAGGATAGGTAAAAGTATTGGAGTTGAGACCAAGAACATTTTGAAGCTAGATTTTAGAATTTATTTTTTTAAATTTTTAATGGGGAACTGAGTGAAGGTTTATAGACAAGATTATCAGTTTTACAGTTAACAAATGTTGAAGCTTTGTTTCATCTTTGAAATCGTTCATTCTTTGTTGTTGTTACGTGCCGTGGAGTCGGTTCCAACTCATAGCGACCCTGTACAGGGTTTCCGAGGCTGTAAATCTTTGCGGGAGCAGAAAGCCTCATCTTTCTCCCGCAGAACAGCTGGTTGTTTTGAACTGCTGACCTTGTGGTTCACAGCCTGATTCGTAACTACTATGCTACAAGATCTCCTTATTGGAAAATACAGGGTCATCAAAAAAGGAGAAGACCACCAACAAGACGGATTGATGCAGTGGCAGCAACAATACATAATATTGAGTATGGTACAGCATCAAGCGATGTTTCATTCTGTTGTACATAGGGTTGCTATGAGTCAGAACTGACACAACCTCACCTAACAACAAGTGGCACAATGATTAAGTGATTGTTGCTAATTGAAAGGTCAGCGGGAGAAAAATATACAGCAGTCTGTTTCCATAAGAATTTATGGTACTGGAAACTCAATGGGTGGGGCAGTTAGTTCTGTTTTGTTCTATAAGGTCACTATAAATAGGAATTGACTCAATGGCAGTGGCTTTGTTATGGGTGTAGTCACTGCCATGGAACTGATTCCGATCCATGTTGTTGTTGTTGTTAAGTGCCGTTGAGTCGAGTCCGACCCATAGCGACCCTGTACAGGGTTTCCGAGGGTGTAAATCTTTATAGTGACCCTAAATAGGGTTTCTGAGACTTTAAATCTTCACAGTAATAGACAGCCTCATTCTTCTCCTGTGGAAATGACTTATGTTTAAATGCTGACTTTGAGGTTAGCAGCCCAATGCCTAACCCACAGTGCCATCACTGTATTTATTTCCTTGGATTGGTTAAATGTTTCTACACGTCTTGTCATGATTACTTCTCTTTTCTTCAGCCAACCGAAAGATAAATTACTTAGTCAATCAGAGCATAGTTTCAAGGTCTTGTAGAGAATGTGTGGTGGGATTGTATCTATTCTGCCTATTACCAAATGTAAATATACCCAAAATATAATACAGAAATCTTTCTTCTATACCCAAAATATAATACAGAAATCTTTCTT